TTGAATGAAGTTGAGCAGATTATCTGATTATCTAGTGTATTTGGCAAAATTGAGGATGCCTAAGTTGGGAGCTATGAAGGCTGCTGTGGAAATATTAGAGCTTGGGAAAAGTCCATGTGTTGGAGCTTATTGGATATTCTCGCACCTATGACTGTGTAGTAAAGTACCCAGTTTTTAACCGAGTCCGTACAACTTCCAGGTGCTGCCCTAAAAATCAGGGCCCGATATATAAAAAAAATAATCCTAAGCTGCAAAGGGAGAGACAGAACAGAAGAATCCATTTTAGGATAAAAAATAGAGACATTCCTTACCCATTTCGAGGAAGAAGCTGCGAAAGAGAAGCTGGGCCTTGCATCATCACTGAGGTCTCTTTACTCAATGAGCCTTCTTTCTCTTTTACCTATTATTTTTTTTAAGCATGAATTAAATCCCACCTTCGGGGGAACGAACTTGTTGTAGATCTCGAATATCTACGTTTTAGTAACTCATATTTGCTAATTTAATAGAGGTGCGTTTCAATTCTTTCATCTTACCGATTTTGTTTGGCCAGCATTATTGGTTTGTTAGCTCATTTGTGGCTCGAAAAAGTCCTCTTGATGTATGTTTACCTATAATTGAGGTTGGATTCCTCTCTTTGAAGCATAAGATGTTGAGTACTTAGGAATGAGGCTCACCCTATTGTGCCTATAAACTGTATTTTATGCTTGTTTATTTTACAGCAGGAGTTGGGAATTAGTATGTTTGGATATCTCGAGAGAGAACCACGTCTGTTTGGGCATTCAACATTTTGAGTTTGCTAAAGCATTCGTGAACATTTTTTTCTTTTTTTTTTTAAAAAATTCTTTTGGTATTTTGTTTCACTACTTCAAAGTATAGCCTTAATCCTTGTGGAAACGACCTTGTTTATACTACCATCGACAAGAATAGTGTATACTTGCACTTATTTTCACGTGAGTTATGAACATGCAACATATACCCCTAAACTTTAGGTTAGGTTCAATTATACCTCTAATCAATCTTTTAAAATTGTTTCAAAACAACCATTCCTCCCACTTTTCCATTAGAAAAGAAAAAAACCAAAAATTTGATGAGATGGTGAGTGGTAAAAATAGAGGATGATTTCTTATTAATGTCATCCAACTAATAAAGTACCACATGTACCTTATCTTGAATAGTCATCACAATGTGGAGACTAGGTTCATCCCCGGGTCTACAATAATTATAAGGTTCGCCAAATCATTTTTGTTCTTTGTCTTTAAGGATTTTCCCTACACAATTAGTTTTTTTTAAATCATGATGTGATACCAGTACATAATCCTCATGACTTTAYTTTGAGTTTCACTAAAAAGGCTGCCGATCATACCAATGAAATAATTACCCTCACTTATATACCATGGATCACCCATTTTCCTAACCAATCTAAAACTTTGTTTGTACTCATTGCAATTCTAATACACACTAGGTTGTGCCCCTGCCTCAAAAGATTTGGCTTCACGTGCCATGACTTGAGGGGCTCAGCTCGACTCTCGGCAGGTCCCTTCGACTGAGCCTCTTCCCCATCTGTTTGGTAGAATTGACTAGGTCATTTTATTTTCTTGTCCACGTGGCTGCGCTCGAGTGTGCTGACGTAGCCAATTGTTTTGCCATAGCATATCTAGTATATTAGTACATGTTGCTTTTCATGGGCACACATTTAGAGTCTTCTAATTTTTGTTATGTCTTTTATAAAACTCAAGGTCTATATTTAGAAGCAGTAACAAACCATGGATGGAAAAATAATAAACATATTTATTAAATGTTTTGTTTTCTCTTTGATAAATATAAGTCCATTTAATTTATACTGCCATAATTTTGTTTCTTTTTTTTTTTTTGTCTGAAAGTATGTCATTATAATTTTAAATGATTTGGTTGAAAAATTACTAAGGATTCCAATTATGGGGAATGAACACGTTAGAATTTTCAATTTCGAGTATAATTCAACGAATATGACACATTCTTTGAGGTTAGTGTTTAAAAACAATTTTGTTTTTAAGACTAATAAAATGTTTTTTAATGCAAAAAGACTTATTTGGCAAAGTAGTTTTCAAAATATATATATATATATTTATTTATTTAGTATTTTATTAAGTTAGTTATTCATATTTAATAGATTTTAAGAACCCTAAATCAATATTTTTTTAATACAACAATATCTGGGATGAGAATTCGAATCTACGATCTTTTAGTTAGGAATATGTGCAATTGAAGCATGTTCAGGTTGGTACTCTAAATTAAGATTTAAGAATTTAGGTTGTATTTAGGAAGAACTTGATTTTCACTCAAACCAGTTTTCAAAGTTAGAATTCACATGGAGATGATTAATTTTGAAGCACTTGAAATATGATTAAATCAACTTTTTTGCGATAATAATGCGGAGTTGGATCTTTGACTTTAAAAAAGGTAATACGTGTCTTTATCTACTTAGCTATACTAAAAAGAATTTTTTTTAAAACAAAAATGTGATGAAAATGTATATGTTTACAAAACAAGAAGGTACTATTTTCACAACATCACAAGCAAGGACAAACATTTTGGAGGGTAAAAAAACTTCCCAAAAATTTTTCAAAAAGTTGAAAGGCTATATGTTACCTAATAAAATTCAAACCCAACCATCAATAATTTCCTTTGTTTTTATTATGTTTTTATCCTTGAAAATTAAATGACATATAATTATAATATTATTGGTCTTTGTTTTTTAGTACTTGATCAACTTCTTTGAACACCCAATAATTGCCTCAAGGAATAAAAAAAATCCACAAATGAAAAAATATTTTCTCTCTTTTTTTTCGTTGATAAAAAATAGCAATAAATAATTATACATTGATTATTCAAACAAGACACAACTAATGAGAAGAGAAGGGGAAAAAAACAACAAAGAGAAAGGGAAAGGAACAGAAAGTGAGGGAAAAAAGGGATTCAAACAAAATATGGTCAAACTTTTCTTGTGGAATTAATGGAGGATTAGAAGAGGACACTTTCACATTAAACTAATTTCCAAATGGATTAATTAAACAAAAGAAAAATTAATTATATGTTTGAAACTTGATATGGGCACTCGTTCAATTTCTGTTCCTAGAAGTATAGTTTAGTACAGCATGTGACGGTGGGGATCGAACTCATAACCTTTTGGTTGAAGATATATGTCAATTAACGCTGAACTATGCTTGTTTTGACTGGTAACTTTTTAATTAAAAGTACATAGACTAAATTTCAAAGTTTAAAGTATATTTAAATCCAATAAAATGTGTTTGTTTGGGTACGGCAAGTGTTGAAATGGGAACAAAGAGTCATGTATAGACTAGAAGTAAAGAGACAAAATCTTTATTAGTATAAAGTCTTTTAGGTAAAATTAGATGCACGAGCTTATGCTCAAAGTAGACAAATATCATAACGCTATGAAAATTTAATATAAAGATTTAGTATTTAGCTTTACTTCTTGTTACAATGTTATCTATATCGATCAATTATGACTAATTTTCTCGTAATAACGTGGGTTCAAGTTCAACTGAAGAAATAGATGTTGACTTACCTGTAATTCAAATGATTAAATATTAATATCTTTTTACAAGCTTACATAAAAAAAAGTTTGAGTTTACTATATTTTTTATTGGTAATGTAAAAATTTTAAAAATTGAGATAATAAATACTTTTGTGTATATATTTGGTGTATGAGTTAATTACTTACTCTGAATTTGCTAAGCCTACTACAAATCTAGTCAATCAAGTTACATGAAGGTCGAGTTTGGATGGGATTTGAAAGAACAAAAAAGAGTTGTCAGCCCATGAAAAAAATTTATGAAATTTTTTTATAATGTTGGATTATATAATTAAAAGTGATTTGAAAATTATATCAGAACATCAATTTGCTTTTAAGAAACCCTTATTTTTATATGTAAAAGAGAAGAAGTGCTTTTTACTTAAAATCATTTCTTAAACTATCTTAGATTTCAAACATATTTAATGGTGGGTAGAAGATTTTTACTTCCCATTTGGGAAGTATTCTACTCTGAATAAGAATAATACTTTGTCGTTCAAAATTTTTATTGTCCACCACTAAATTTTTTTACCATTGTTTATTTTCTACAATTAAAAAAAAATTCCATCTATATATTTGTCTCTTCTACCTATCAAAAACTTAATAGTATGCGATTAGATTTTTGTTGTCCAATCATAGAAATTATCTTTCAATATAAATACGTTGGAGAGTACAATACGACTTAAAGATCCATATACAAGATATTTCTCCATAATCCTAAAAATATGAAGTGGTCGACTTTTGAAGCCATTTATCACCTGATAGTTTTGACAGACTCCCATTGGTTGAAGGAAACGCCATATGCCGAGATGAAGAGTCCAACCTAAGGTAACGCACCTAACGAATTTGCCAACTATCTAACATAACTGTTACACGAGCTCCACAGTAGACACCCTATAAATAGGAGTGCTATTTTTTTGACTTTAGATATGTAATCTGAATCCTCGGCTTGAGATCCAAAGCCGACTTCTTAGTGACATGAGTATCGGAGTATTTGCTTCATTTGTCTCACTAAATTCCCTTATGAAGCTCGACCATATCCAATCTTATCAATTCTTGAGTTAGATCAAAATTCACCATAAACAAAATAGGACAATTATTAGACGTTTATCAGTCACAATATCAATCTTACCTCCTTATAACTATCACTAAAAATATGATAGCTCTTTATTTATAAAGAAATAGAAAAAAAATATTTTTTTCTACATTCTCTGTCCTATTTATCATAAATTTAACGATGATGTGTAAGAGATAAGGTGTTAATCGGTAATTACATATCACACATATAAATAATATCATATTTAAATCTATGAGTAGTCTCATGTCATAGTCCKACATCCCCATCCATTAAAGCCATCCAAAAAAAAGAAAAAATTCCTATTTATCCAACTTTTAATTGATGTACCCAAATCTCTCTCTCTCTTCTATTTAATCCCACGCTGAAAATCACAGCCTTCCCATCAAATTAAAAACTCCACTTCTTCACTTTCGTCCGCCGCTCGTCACGGCGGCGCGGCAGCCACCAGCCATGGCGAAAACTCCGATCTGCACACCCACGGCGTCGTTTCTTCTTCTAATAATCTCCGTGGCAGCCATTTCTCCGGCCCATGGAGGTGAGGACGACGCCTCCGCCGCCGCCGATAGAATCTGGGAACTCCCCGGGCAGCCCAAGGTGTCTTTCCGGCAGTTCTCCGGCTACGTCACCGTGAACCGGGGCGCCGGTCGAGCCCTCTTCTACTGGCTCACTGAATCCCCCCTTCACCCCCTCAACAACCCCCTCGTCATTTGGCTCAATGGAGGTCAGCTCTCATTTTTTAAGACTCCGATGACCATTTCCTTGTTTGTTTTCTATTATTTAAAATTAATTAAAACTGATTTTTTAGTACAGCATGCGAAAGTTCAACATCAAACTCACTCCCGAAAATATATAACCAATTACTGCATAGTCACTTTGATATTAACACTATTTTTTAGTTCGGTGTGTTTTATCATTTTCAAAAGTAATTTTAAAATATTTATTTTTATTTTTAAAATTTTACCCATAATTCAAATATATTTTGAAAAGTGGTTAATGAAATTGTACAAAACAAACCTGACATATTAGAATCTGTTTCATAATATTTCTGTTACTGAGTTCTGCTCCCTAATTTTTAATAAAAAAAACATTATATACCCAACACTCATGGAGTAAAAATGATAGAACTATGTAGTTTAATTTATGTTTTGAGACAAATTGAAAAGCAAAAAAAGAAACTCTTTTTTTATAACAATTTTGAGAATGTTTACGAAGAATAAGATACAAGAATCATAAATAGTTGTTAAGGATTATGTTTCTTAACAAAATTGAATCGTCGTTGACTGAGACCCAACCAATAAAGCAATTATTATCAAACTAGGAGAAAGAACCATAAATTTTACTAAAAAGGTGAAATTTTATAGCGGTAAGTAAGAGATTTTCTATTTTTTTATTTTTTTAGTTTTTTAGTTCAATCAATGTGAGGTGAGTGCTTCAATCTTTAATCTTAAAATTAGGATTGGTAATTAGAGATAAAACTGCACAAAAAAAAAAAAACTTCTTAATTCTTTTTTTTTATATTGATATTTTCGTAAGGATACATCCACATTTTCTATGGATATTTTAACCAAGGAGGAGACAGAGACTCAAAACAAAAACAAACAAAAATCAACCTAAATGGACAGTAAAATTTAAAATCTTTGTACCGTAGAAAGAATAACCTTCTCTTGTTTTTTTTTTCTCTCTCTCTCTCTATATATTTAGATAAGTTTATTTTTTCTTTTTCTTTTTTTAATAGAGAAAGAAATTTAAGAGAGTCTGGGGACTGTTACATCGGCTGTTTTAGGGTAACATGATTTTCAATACCACATTTATTAATTCATTCATTCATTTTTCTTAAATTATAAATTTCCGTCATGCTTCTCTACTTTGAAAAGTCTCTCTAGTCCATCTATTAGTCGAAAATTAATTTTGGAGACTTCAATATTAATTTTTGTTTATTTTCCCCTAAATATGGTGGTATAATTATCCGTTGCCGACAAGAAAAAAATAAAAAAGAAAACAGAGAAATTCTTGGGACTGTGTAAAAACTTTAATTGCTGCTCTGAAAATGAAAGGATTTTATTGAAGATTTTGTTGTTGTTGTTTTTTTTTTTTTGTGGGGGGGTTAAAATTTAGCCGTTTGGGGTAGGGTTTAGTTAGTTTTGTTCACAGAGAGAGAGGAGAGAGAAAGTGCCCTAAAAAATCTAGAGAGAGAGAGAGAGAGGGTTCTTCCAACTTCACTGGCCTACTGTCTGGCTTGGAATGAATAATTATGATCCAACCACCAGTAGCCTGCTGTACAAACCAATACCAAATACACATCCTATAAATAATTATATAATATTTCTTTCTATTATTTTTTCGATAAGTACGTAGTTCAAAACACATTGACATATTAAGACTAATTTCTATAATTATTTTTTTTTTGAAATATTATTTACTTGTTGCTCGTCGACCTAAAAACCATAGGGGTCTTTAAATTTTCATAAATACACATTGTGTTATTTTATAATTATTGTATTTAATAAAATAAATACCTGTTTTGGAATTTAATACAAAATTAGCAATAAACGGACATTAGTACAAAATAAAATAAACTACAAGGACTAGAATTTAAAACATTCCAAACAAAAAAAAGCTATATATTTAGGTTAGGACTAAGGTGATTTTGGTATGACTTCTTAAACAGTCATAAACTTTTTTTAATTAATTAATTAAACTTGTGTTTAATATGTAATTTTAAAAAGTGTATTTAGAGGATTTTAAAATTTCAATTTTGTGGGTCTAATAAGTCTTTTTTAGATATATTCAACATTTTTTAGAATTTGCACAGTTACACGACACAAAATTGAAAAGCTTGAGATTATGGAACATAAAATTCAATTTTATGTCTGATAGATTCTTAAACTTTAGAAAATGTTGAATTGACCGGAGATATTAGGCGCAACAACACAATATCAAAAATTTAGGAAAGTATTAAACATGACTTTGAAAGTTGACCAAAATTTGTAATTCATTATTACAAGATTAATCCTTTTAACTTACACTGTTATATCAAATACGTCCTTAGACCTCAAATTTTGTATCTAATCAAATCTCTAACTTATCGGTCAATTTTTAAATTTCCAAGAACTTGTTGAACATATAATCGAAGGTTTAAGACATTTCTTAGACGCAACATTAAGAGTTTAGTAGTCTATTAGTCACTCTTTAAACTTCAAGAACTTACTAGACACAATTGTCGAAATTCATGGACCAAACTTAGAAAACTATCTAGGTATTTATCCTTCATCCCCTTCTTCTGCTTACCACCATTAAATTTTCGACAAGTAGGAGAAAAAAATGCAGAACGGAGGAAACCTTTTCTAAAAACTGTCAAATCTTTATCAATGATCAACACAAAGATAGATACTAATCGATACGTGAAATCAAACTTGTAATTTAACATTTTCTTTTTAGTTTGTGGTGGGGTAAGAGTTTGAAAGAAAGGGAAGAAAAAACAAGAGGTGCATCATAATAAATTTAAAGGACAAGAGGCAGCTGCCATTTATGTAATGTTAGGCATCTTGTCAGCATTCATTGGGTGCACACCATCAATGCCCACCCCTCTATTAAATCCAACCCTCCACTCCTTCCCTTTTCCTTAAATTCTCCATTTTTATATACACCCCCACTTCATTTCATTCATCTTCCTTTTTCATTTGTGTTTCATATTTATGGTTAGGCATAATGGAATCATACGAGTTTCTTTACAACTAAATGTTCGGGAGATTATTAGTCCAAAAGTATGTATTAATTGTTGTAATACTATGCTTAATAATTTTACCAACATGAACATATATAGTTCCATTGTTAGAACTTCTAGCATTCATTTAAGATTAAAGGTTCAGATCTTGACTCCACGTTTGTTGTACTAAAAATACTCTTCATGTTTTTGAGATTGAACTTTGTAGTTTTGTACTTTTGAGATGTCGAGTTTTGTTGATTGGAAAGTATTTGGCTCTTCAACCGTAAGGAGCAAATTTTGTCCTCACCACCGTTTAATAAAGTCTTTGCTTTTGCATTTATCTATCTTAATTGTCAAATATTTAATAGTTGAGAGAACAAGATTACTCTCATTAAGTAGCCAAGTATTTTACTTATTGATTTTAGTCCCTATATTTTTTTAAAGTGACAATTTTCGTCACTTTAAACATTTTCATCTCAATCTCTTCGATCACAAGGACGTTTTGCTCGTAAAATTTCATGAAATGTAGCGAAAAAAATATATATATATAATTAAAAAAAATTAAATATATTTGTTTTCGAGAGAAAATTGATTTTGGAGTAAAGAGGAAGTAATTGTTGCATAATTATTTGAGTTGCTTGACATGGCCATGACATTTAAGTTTACTGTTGACCGGCAGTCCCGGTCATATCACGTGGGACCCATAAGAAGATTACTCTGACGGAGGTTTTTGATTGGACGGTCACTTGTCAGGTCCCGGTTGCTCCTCCATAGCCTATGGAGCTTCGGAAGAGATTGGTCCATTTAGAATCAACAAGACGGCCAATGGCCTTCTCCCCAACAAGTTCTCTTGGAACTCCATTGCCAACCTCCTCTTCCTCGAAACCCCCGCCGGCGTCGGCTTCTCCTATTCCAACCGCTCCTCCGACTTGCTCGACACCGGCGACCGACGCACCGGTATGCTACCCTCTTCTCCATCCTTTACTTGAATTATTCGTCGAACTTTTGAAATTAGTTTTGAAGTAAAAAGTTTCACTTCTATTATTGATCTTTAGAATTGATTGGTCGTAGACAATTTAACTGAAAATGTGACAAAATATTGATAACGAGAACCATTATTTTTCGAGCCATGTTTACAGTGGAATTCTTAACTTATTCCTAAATTAGTGATTGGTTATTGCTACCTATTATGCCCTTCATTTTTTCTTTGTTTACAACTTAGAAACTACATTATTTTTGTCACTCGTCCTAATAATCTTCAGGAGCATATTTGAATAATTATAAATTCTCATTATAGAAGCAAAACATTTCAAAAGACGGGTATAATTGAAAATAAATTCAAAATTCCAAGGGTATTTTTGCATTATTTAACATAAATTTAATTATACGTACAATATTTTTCTAAAATTTTTGTTTTTAAATAATTTTAATAATGTTGGTTATTATGTTGAATTTTTTTTTTTGTGATATTAATTTATTATTAACTTAGATATTGATTAAATAAGAGTGATTGCGATTGACCTAAATAATCTAGATTTGATTTTTTAATTCCTATTTTTGTTGTATGTGATCTAATGTTAGATTTGTAGCTTTTATAAAAAAAAAAAAAAAGTTAGATTTGTTGCTACTCTTAGAAAATCTAAATTATATTAAACTTAAATCAACATGAGTTTTTAGTCTCTGTCACTGTCAGTTCAATGGTCATTGGGTCACCTCTGTTATATCATTCAACCTTCTTTTTTATTTTGTTTAGAATTTTTTTTATAATTAATAAATTCATAATAGTTCTTTCTAATTTTTTATTAAAATTAGCCGCGTTAAACTAAGATGAAATAATACTTAGTCAATTAAAAAAATTAAAATATAAAAAAATTTGTCAAAAGAAAAAAACTTGAAATTTTTGTAACTTATTCAGATGTTGAGGAATTAGAAAGTTTTCTCTTTTTAGATAATTCTTTTCGTCTAGATTTACACTAGTTGAATGAGTATTATGTCATAAAAATTTATCATCAATCAAATGTAATATTTACTTGTAGTGAAAAAAAAATAAATTGAAAAATGTTAAAACAAGTAGAAATTAAAATATATATTTAGCTTAGGAAAAATAAATTTATATTTTATATTGTAACAAATTCTTTAGACAAATTTCCAAAAAGTTAAATTTTTGAGTTTACAGGCTACAGATTAGAGTTGTCACTTCAGTACTTCACCATCAATTTCATGAAAACAAAAACTTTTTGGAAAATTCTTTTTTAAATTTCAACAGCTGAAATTCTTGAATGAGAAAAAAGAAATAGTTGACCAATCTTTTTAAAAATCTGGCATGGCTACTATGCGTCACATCGTATAGTTAATTAATTTCGTGTGAGCGTGAACCGTGGTTGTCACCATCACCCTTGATGGAGGTCAGGTCAGGGAAAATGGACGGCTAGGATTCATCAGTGCGGCAGATTGGAGAACAAGTAAATTGGAGGGTGGCGATGGGTTTGATGGTTCTGTATCTTTAAATACTACTTAAGATTTCGATCCATTTTGATTTTTCTATTCTTAAAATATTTTCTACTTTCAAAATATTTTCATTTTAGTCTGTACTTTTTTAAACTTCTAATTTGATTGATTGATTTTTATCTTATTTATTTCAATCGTAATTTTACTTAGATGTTTCATTTAGTTAATTTTTAAAAATGTAATCATAAATTTATATTTAAAGATTTTGACTGGATTTAGAATTCAGTTTCAAGTTTTGTAAATTGAGACTAAACCAATAACTTTCTAAAAATAAAGGAAAAAAATAGATATAATACACGTTACTCAAACGAGCGAAAATTGGGAGCATAAAAATTAAAATAAATAAAAAAAATTGTAGCTCAGCGGAGTAATATTTCTTTTATCTCAAAATTTAAATCTCAAATCTTTAAAAGAAGAATCTATATATCTAAATTTAAGATTAAATTAATATTTTTATTTTGATCTCTTTACTTTCTGGCTTATTCTGCTTTGGTTTTTATATCATCAAATGCTATGTTTTAATTTTTCAATTTTTGTAAAATATTTTTTTGTCTTTATTATTACATTTTTGTATTTGTATTTATTGGAATTATCAATTTTCAAATTTTTTTAATGCAACATGTGGTGTGGCGATCTAAATTTACAAGGTGGGTATAGGTTTAAGTTGGCCAAATTTTCAAATTTAAAACTAGATAAATCAACATTTACATATAATTTCTATGAAATGCACGATTTTAATTACATGGTGAGGAGTAAAATTGATTTTCGAGTTAAAATTTAAATAATCAAGATAAAAATATTGAATGTAGGAACCAAAAAAAAATAATAATAATAATAATTGTGAATTTATTTTTTGCATCGCTTGTGATTTTTGGCTCTTTTTGCCATGTTAATTAGCAAAAATACATTAGTATAGCTGATTATATGTTTAGTTTCATTTGAAACAAAGTTTAGTTTGCCCTGTTGTTAGATAATCATTGAACAGTATCTTTTATAGAAAAATAATAGTGATTTTTTTTTCAAATAACGGAAAAATTAAGAAAGATCATTAGTGAAGCTCCAAGTACATCTGTTGAGTTATTTCTATTGATTCTGGTGATTTTATGAACAGTTATTTATTTATTTTAAATTTTAATAATACTAAGAATTGATTTATGAACTTTGAATAATTTAGTTAAAAGTAGGATTGAAAGAATTTGTTGAACACTGACATTGCACAGTGGGAAGTACTCAGAATATTTTCTTTTGGAAGCAAAAGTTTCAATCACTCTGCATTTTCTCCAACCTGACTTTGTTGTTGAACATTGTTTCAGCCAAGGACTCTCTGGAATTCCTCGTACGATGGCTCGAACGTTTCCCCCGATACAAGACCCGGGACGTTTTTCTAACCGGAGAAAGCTATGCTGGCCACTACGTTCCCCAGCTCGCCAGGGAGATCTTGGCCTACAATGCAAAGTCCTCCCACCCTATTCGTCTCAAGGGAATCATGGTATCTCGCCCCTTCCCTAGCCTTTCGAGTCATCATCCTTTCCTCTTGTCATTCACTATGCATCCATTCCTACAACGTAGAGATTTAAACAATCGATTAGAAGTGGAGAAAATCTCAACTCGAAGTAAAGTAAAACATTTTATCCATAGAATGAGGGCCATGTAAAAGTTTGCATTTTGATGAGGGTAAGTGAATGAAATGCAGGTTGGGAATGCAGTGACAGACAACTACTACGATAACTTGGGGACGGTCACGTACTGGTGGAGCCACGCCATGATCTCCGATAAGACATACCATGAGCTCATTAACACTTGCGATTTTAGTCGACAGAAGGAATCAAATGAATGTGAGTCCTTGTACACCTATGCCATGGATAAAGAGTTTGGGAACATTGATCAATACAACATTTATGCACCTCCTTGCAACAATTCGGATGGTAGCCTCGCAACCCGCCAGAGTACTATGCGATTGCCTCACCGTCCTCACCGGGTATCTGTATTCTGTTTATATTATAAACTGAAATCGATGATGTTAATCAAAGGGAAGTAAAAGAAGTGATCAAATTATTAACCTTGCTGTCATAAACTATCAGGCATTCAGGAAATTTTCAGGCTACGATCCTTGTACCGAGAAATACGCCGAAATATACTACAATCGGCCTGACGTACAGAAGGCTCTTCATGCCAACATAACAAACATTCCATATAGATGGACTGCTTGCAGGTAAATTTAAATCCATGTTGCATCAGTTTCCATTGAATATAATATCCTCACAATTATATTTGTTGTCATGAACAAACAACCCTTTGTTTCTGTGCAGCGAAATTTTGAATCGGAATTGGAACGACACCGATGTATCCATACTTCCAATCTACWGGGAGCTGATATCAAGTGGCATAAGAGTTTGGATCTTCAGGTACCACTTTCTAGATGTGTGATATGATAACCGTGAGTACACTGCAGCTAATCTCATAGAACTACCAATACTCGGTTGTTAGGAAAACTCGTAGAATTTTAACACCCTATGCAGGTAGTCATAGTTTGAACCCATACTTCCAAAGACTACTAGGCCAAACCGTAGTAGTTAAATCTCAAAATCCATCAATAAATCGTGCTATGATACTTTAGCATGTTCCATTTCTCTGGGGCATTTTATCAAACACCTGATGCGCCATTTTCTTGGAAACAATTTGCAGCGGAGATGTGGATTCAGTGGTGCCTGTAACAGCCACAAGATATTCGATTTCACAGCTGAAATTAACTACAAAAGTTCCATGGTACCCATGGTATGTCAAAAACCAGGTCAGTTTCCACCCTCTCTCGATCTCAACATGAACATCAAAATTCAAAATACCCAATTCAAGAAACCAAAATCGATGATTATTAAGTGGAATTTTCCTTGGTCTTGATGAAGGTGGGAGGGTGGACAGAGGTTTACGAAGGGCTTACCTTTGCAACAGTGAGAGGGGCAGGGCATGAAGTTCCATTGTTCAAACCAAGAGCTGCTCTTCAGCTTTTCAAATCATTCATCAAAGGGGAACCGCTGCCAAAGTCTTGAAATGAAATCCATTTTCAACTAATTTTTCTCTTTAGAAGAAAGGAAATTTGCTGAAATGTAACGTGTTATTCTTTTTTCAAGTGTTGGAAAGTTTGGGGTTTGGGGGGAAAGCAAAAGAATAGGAGAAATTTGAGTTGGAGAAGTTGATAGAAAAGAGGCATAGTTGAATTGAATATCAAAGAATGGGTTTGTTATGTAATTGTGCATTTCTTTTAAATCATATTATTCTAAATGTCACTAATCTCCTTTCTAAGTTTGTGAAATTCTGATTAAAAAAAATTAACAAAAATCAGGTCTCAATAAATAAATAAATATATATATAAGTGTTGCTTAATATGGATCTTCAAATACATGAAAATAGTCCAAGTGATTTGTTAATTGTTTGAAGTCTTGAAGTGATGTAAGGGTTTAGTCTTCATAGTTCAAGAAATCAATCTCGACAAATATTCGATAAGAAATATTTGACACGTTAATAGTATGTCAAATGGTAAAAATGAGAGAAGCATTTAATACTATTATAGTATTAGAAATTCTCTCACTAAACCAATTTCAAACGGTTTAAACATATATCATTTTTTTCTAATCACATGCTCACGTTAAGAGTAGGACCCATTTGGTATGTTCAGTTAAAAAATAATAATAATAAAATTGCGAGTTTAGTCTCTAAACATTTATTTTTTGTCTAGTGGGCTATTAAACTTTAAAATATCTTCTCTTAAAACTTTCAATTTTGTATCTAATTAGAAATGTCTAATAAGTTTATTAACTTTTAATTTTGTGCCTAATAAATCTTTAACATATTCAAAATTCTTAAAATTAACTAGTCTCCCAAAGTTTCACGCCCCTCATTTTGTCCTTCTTTCTCTCTCTCCCATTAAAAGGGAGACTGAAGCCCTATAATCAAGTACGTAATTTCTCACATGGAAATCCTACTGCTTCATACCCGTCCCAAGTTCTAATTATGCAATCGACAGGTGAGTACAAGTCCTACCAGAGTTTGAAGATGATGATGATGTACACCCACGTGATACCTATGTTACACTTGCACAGAAATCGACATACATATATACTTAAATACAGAAGAAGATGACTTTTTGGTTAATGATATATATTTTAACCGCATTCAAAAGGATAGAAAACCTTATTCTTAAAAAACAAGTAGACATATTTCATTTGGACTCTATTTTAGGTCATTTTGTCAAAATACTCGTATATGTTTCTCTTATTTATCATTTAACATATCATTAAATAATATATTATTTTGTGGAATCTACACCGTTATTATATGGTCTTGATTTGGCAAACAATAGTATAAATTTTTTCATACTGTTGTAGTATTATAAATTATTCCAATTCAAAAGAATTATTTTGTTTTTTTTTCTCAAATCACATGTCAAATATATTAACAAAATAATAATCTAATAACGCAGTGACTTCTTAATTAACATTTAAAGTAAAGAGACGTGTGAGTACTAGAAGTCTTGAGTTACTATCTATCTTGAGGTGTGGAATCTTACAACACAGTGTTGTCTAACTCAGACAACAAGTTCCAACCACAGGGATTTCGACTTTTTAATTTAACCAAAAAAGAATTTCAACTTCAAAAAATAAATGATTCATTGCGCCTAACTTTCGTTTTCCCATCATGACACAAATAGTAAGAACTTTGAACACATGATTGATTGGTAAAGTTTATCCTCCTCAAAAGTTGGGTGAAAGTGAAAACCAGAACTCGCTCTCAAAACACCGTAGACAAATTACATTTCCAAATTCATATCCTTCGTCAACAAATACTGAATACTGACCATTCCATTCCAGATTTCCATCTAATAAATAAACCCATTTCTTCCATTTCCCTCAATTTTATATTCCTCCCCACGTCCTCCATTGGAAGATCCCTCGAAATTCTACAGCATTTTCCTCTCCTGCACAGAAGAAAGCCCACAAAACTTCAAAATCCCGAGACCCATCTCTCAGATTTCCAGATTCGCAGCTTCTTCAGCGCCATTTTTGTTCTCTTAACTTCAGGGTACGTTTTCTTTTTCTTTTTTGCTCTGAATCAAGCGATCGATTTCGATCTTTTAGGTCTTCTGCTAGAAACTTCTTCCTCCTGTTGATCTTTTTTGACTACTTTTTCCCCTTTAGTTCATTATCTTGCTACTCAAAAGCCCTTTCCCCCGTTTCTTAGTTTGTCTGAATTTGGGTTCTGCAGGAGCTTTGACTCTGTTTTGAGCTGTGGGCAATTCAGGGTTTGAGCTTAATCCGTTGAAGTCTTTTGTTGATTGTTGTTCTGTTGGGCTGTGTTGGTTTTGTTGATTGGGGAATATGGGGGAGTGTGGGTGTTTGGTTTCAGAGCTTGGAGGAGAGAAACAGCTCATTGCTGCTGCTAATTTCATTATTAAGGCTTTAGGTTCTGACATAACCATTTCAGATGATGCAAAGAAGGTTTTGGCCGATCTTTGCACAGAGTTATCTTTAGTTGTTTCACGGAATCAGCGAGCCGATGTTGTCGAAATCGAAGTCGAGGGGACGGAGATTGGGGAAGTTGAAGAGATTGAGAGTAGGCTTAAAGTAGTGCAGGAGAAAATCATGGTTTGGGAAGCAGATCAGTCCATGATATGGGACTCTGCTGCTCCGGATGATGCTTCGGAGTATCTGAACGCTGCAGATGAAGCCCGGGAATTGGTTAGCAAGTTGGAGGGTTTGTGTTTGAGTAAAGATGAAGGAGATTTTGAACTGTCGAGGAAGGCGCACGATGTTCTTCAAACGGCTATGGCAAGGCTTGAGGAAGAGTTTAGGCACTTGCTTGCTAGAAGTAGCCTTGAATTTCAGCTTGAGAGTGTGTCTGTGCACTCCACGGAAGATGCTGTGGATGATGGATCGACACACTTATATCGAGATGAATCGTTTGAGGCTTCGGTTCGGAGTAGTAGTGTTGGCAGAAACTTGGAGAATTCTATCATCGATTTGGTCAACCCAGATGCGGTTTGTGAGCTCATGGGCATAGCAAATGTCATGTTCAAGTCTGGTTATGATCAGGAGTGCATCCAGGCTTACAATCATCTTCGTCGGGACGCTTTAAATGAGTGCCTCTTGACTCTTGAAATGGAGAAAATGAGCATTGAGGATGTGCTGAAAATGGATTGGGTTACCTTGAACTCGAAGATCAGGAAATGGAACCGAGCAATGAAGCGATTCGTGCGGGTCTATCTACCTAGCGAAAAATGCCTTTGTGATCAAATTTTTGGGGAGGAAGGATCGGTTAGTTTGACTTGTTTTGTTGAATCATCAAAGGCATCAATGCTGCAATTTCTGAACTTTGGCGAGGCCATGGCCATAGGCCCTCATACACCAGAAAAATTGAATCGCATTCTCGAAATGTATGAGGTCGTTGAAGAGCTTCTCTCGGATATCGATGCGTTATACTGTGATGAAGTTGGTTATCATGTTAGGATTGAGTATCATGATGTTCAAAAGAGTCTAGGACATTCTGTGAGAGCTACATTTCTCGAGTTCGGGAAAGCTATTGCGGCAAACACGTCACCGCACCCGTTTGCAGGCGGTGGAATCCATCATCTAACCAAATACGTGATGAATTACCTTATGATTCTTACTGATTATAGCGAATCCCTGAATTTTCTCCTCAAGGATGGAGAAGATATGTATCCCATTTCACCATCATGCTCTATGAATTCAAGTAGAGAAAGAGAAGAAGAAAGCGAAAGCAGAGGTTCGTGTTCAGGCGAGTTCTCCCCGATGGCTCGCCATTTTCGTTCGGTTGCTACAATTCTAGAGAATAACCTCGAGGAGAAGTCGAAGCAGTACAAAGATGCTGCTCTACAGCAATTCTTCTTGATGAACAACATACATTACATGGCTCAAAAGGTGAGGGGTTCGGAGCTTAGCCAGATATTCGGGGAGGATTGGATTCGTAAACACTACGGGAAGTTCCAGCAGCAGGCGATGAACTACGAGAGGGCTAGTTGGAATTCAATACTCTCATACCTTCGGGAGGATCCCGGTTCTAATTCGGAGTCGAAAAACGTGCTGAAAGAGAGGTTGCGCAGCTTCAATGTTGCTTTCGAGGAGATTTACAAAACCCAAACCTCGTGGATCATTCACGACTCTCGGCTTCGTGAAGATCTGCGGATCTCGACGTCGCTGAGGGTGATCCATGCATATAGAGCATTCTTTGGAAGGTGTAATAACCATGTAAGTGACAAGCTTATCAAGTACAGTCCAGATGATTTGGAGGGTTACCTTCTTGATCTCTTTGAGGGATCTCCAAAATCATTGCCCAACACCAATAGGAGGTGATTCTTCCAAAATGGCCTATTCACACTACTCATTCATCCTTGTAATTTTTCCTTCCATCTTATTATAATAAACTTTTCAATATAACACGAGAACTCAGTTATCGTGGTCATCCAACTTAGTACTATCATCGACCTTGCATAGTTTTATCATTAATCTTGTTATTTAAGTAGTAATTTTGATCTGTCTATTGGACGCACATTAACTGATTGGGTACATCGTGGTTGACAAATAGTTTATGAAAAAGATTGGGAATTTAGTCTTCGAATTTAGGGGAGTGAGTCAATTTTGACAGTAAACTTTCGATTTCATACATTTAAATTTTATACTTGAATAAGTGATGCAGTTAATATATCCTCGATTATTTAAGTTTTTTTTTTTCTTTTATTTGAAGATATATGACTAGATATAGGTGTTTTTATAGTTTGATGAAACTATTTTTCCAATGATTTTGTTATTTTAATTGCAATGGATGCTTTTATTTAGTTGGATATGGACATTTTGTTTCTAACATTGAGTGCTTTTTCTTTTCTTTTTTAATTCACTTGATTTTGTGATTAAATTCAAGTATTTTCATGAGTGATTTTGGACATTTCTTTTAACACAATTTTAGAATAAGTTGTGATGTCTATGAAATAGAAAATTCAAATTTAAAATCGACTCCCTCCTCACTTCAAACATAAAAATTCAACTTTTCCAATAATATTTAACATGTTGCCTTAAAAAGAGACCGATGTAAGTGTTTGGCTCTCACTTTTTTCTGCTATTTGATAATACTTAAAAAAAAATAAAATTAAAATTTCCAAACAGAACTGTCGATAGAAACTACAATAAAACAAACTACAACTCATCCGGAACATGATTCAACGGGTTAGAGACACATATCTTCAATGGATCGAAAGTGACCAAATTCTCCCTCTACCTCGTAGAATATGATTGATGTAGAAGGCAAAATGGTGCGTATACTTATAAAATTCTAGTGGTTACAAGAAAAAGTCCACACGGATTTCTTCATTAATTCAGACTGAGACTTGGAGTCTTGACTTAGCAAACAAATATTACATTTTTTTCTTTTTTCTTTTTTCTTTTTTTCTTTTTCTCCATTTTCACACTGCTTTTCAAATTTGAACATTCAAATCTAGTCAAAAACTGTTTTTCCTCATTTTTTTTTAACTAAAAAGATAAAAGTTTCTTTTTGGGAAAATATGGACTTCGACTTTATTTTGAACTTTGTAACAGTGTATCAATTTTTAATTATCTTAAACTTTCAATTTCATTAAATTGCACATTAAAACTTGAATAAGAGTTGTCATCTTCACCTTAAACTTCAAGGATTGTTTCGATTTTTACTCTACGATATATTTTTGTTTAAAAAAATCATTAAAAATGTATTCTTACGTGCTTTTTCAATTAATTTAAAACATCATGTATTTGATATGAAATTGGTAAAATTTAAAAAAAAAAAAAAACAAGAACAAAGAGTTTGTTTGTTTGTTTTTTTTTGTTGAAATTTGCAAGTTTTATTGGAGTTATTTTTTAGTCGATTTTGTGCATTAATCTGATCTAATTTTGTGCAAATTTAATTTTCATGAAGTTAGTGAGTTTTTCCTTTTAGCTTTTTATTTTAACAGTGGATGAATTGGCAAAAATATAAGAACTACGACAGTTCTTTGAGGTTATGGTCCAATTTATTGAAATTAAGAGTCTAGGATAAAAATTGATCAATCTAGCAAGTTTTAAATTTTGAATTTTTTTTTTTTCCTTCCTTTCATCGTTAATTTTTTCATTATTATCATTTCTTAAAAAGAAAAATGGTAAACGATTAGAAAAGGAAAATATCAAATGGAGTCGTGAGGAATGCAAATGCATGGAAAAGGTTGGGGGTATAAAAGTAAAATTGGATAGTCTAATAATGGGTCAAAATGGACTTTCTGTTTCTTGAGTCAACGTTTTGGAAATTTTGACTACTTCAAGGTCAATTAGCCTTTACTCACACTCCATAATAAATTTGAGGCAGCTGCTCTTGACATGGATGCAACCTAGAAAATGTCGATGTCAATTATTTAAATTTTTATATATATTCCTAAATATTTAGGGTACATTTGATACTATTTTGGTTTTTTATTTTTTTGTTATTATTTTATCCAGTAATTGTTGATGCTTGGATTCTGGTAGACCGACTTACTCCGTTCCATGCACCAAACTCGGATATTACGGGACCAGATACCTGCAAAATCGAACAAAACCCTAATCCAGTATGACGTCACTCACATTGGCTCCGATGCCTAAGTTAGCAAAATGAGAGATTACTAAACAAGTACGAGTTTACTTCTGGCTTACCTTCAAGGGGTGACCCCTCCCTATTTATAGTCGATTTGCCCCCTACGGTTTCTCAGGATGCCAACCCTAGGTTTGATAGTCGTGGGCTTTGGGTCGGGATGCCTCCAACATCGGTAGAGGAATGGGGACAGGGCTTGGCTTTGGGGCCCGAACTCCACACACTTGAAACAGAGAACGAGAGGGAAAAAGGAGAGCACCAAGGGCCTTCTCGACCTAAGGTCGAAAAGGGGTCGGAGCCTCGACGCCGAGGTGGGGTCGGCCCTTTGTTGGGCCGCCTCCGTGCCTTGGGTCAGCTCTGCTTGTCGATGGTCCCGATTGTCCTTCTTAATGTAGTCGTATTGCTCCATATATAACAGTAATAAATAAAAATAAAATTGTGTTGTCAATGATTTAAACCTCTAGTGCCGAAGCAGAGTACAAGGTACTCGCCCTTACTCTCTCTGAACTTTTATGCCTTTCTTACTTGCTAGGCGATCAAGAGGTGTCATTTCGCTATCAATTTATCCTGCACTGACACACTTGGCGACCAATCTTGTGTTCCATGCCTTCTCTAAGCACATAGAAGTATACTACCACTTCGTCCGTGACCTCGTGATCGCAGGCAAGTTGCTCATTCGACTTGTTGGCAGCAACAAGAAAGTGGCGGACATTTTCCTCTAAGGATTACCTGAATTAGCCTTCCATCATTTTCATGGCAAACTGCTGTCTCCTGCTTCCCCTTCCTTGGAGCGCGACATCGATTATACGAATGACAGTCTGTTAATGAAATATGTGATTCCCTTCTCTTTCTCGTTATCGGTCAATTGGATGTCCATCCATGCTCGAAACCATTCCTAGAATCCGCATATATGTCTCTACGCTCTATGGCTTGAATTATCTAGTTGAGCGTAACTCAACTAGTTAAGACATCTATTTCCAACTAAAAATTGTGAGTTTGAATTTTCTTTGGGGCATGTTGCACTAAAAAGATTACATTTGGTAATAGTTTTTAGTTGAAACATGTTTGACAACAATTCATTGTTTCTAGTTTTCTTAAATTTAAAATTAGAAAAAGTAATATTTTTTATGAAAATTAAAAATTAAATTTTTTTTTATCTTGTATTTATTTTATAATATTTATTATACATTTTATAGGTCAAGATTGATAAAATAATGCTTTTTCATGTTTTGGAAAAAACTAGAAACAAAACGGGAATAAAAAACAAGAAATAAGAAACTTGATTTTGTTGTCGTTTGTGAACTATTTTTGTTGTTCATCTCTCTTTTTTTAGAAACGTTTACAATAAACAAGAAATGAGAATATTATCAAACAAACTCTTAAATATTAGACAGATAATCTAAAAAAATCACTTATATAATAGAAATTTATTGAACTTTTGTTAATTTATTAATAAAATTTTAATAAAAACTTATTTAAGTCATAAACGAATAAATTGGTTAAGACATTAAAACATGAATCTAAAATATTAAAATTTCAAATCTCCACCTCATTGATGAACTTTAAAAAATAACCATATACTAGTTTTTGATAAATATATTTGAAAAATTATAAAGAGAGGTGTGAGACAAAGATTCTAAAGATGATTAGTAACAAAAACTATGATTTGGAAATGGTCAAACTTTTTAGATACCTCAATATATGGCAACATACATTTTGTCTATTTAATTTTACCCCAAATTTTGTTTTTAAAAAGATTTAATACATATTTATTGTAACAAAGAAAGAAATTAAAATTTAAAAAATAAATCTTATATTTGACTACGCAATATATTTTCTTCTAATTAGTTTAGGTTAAAAAAATATATATCCTTGCATTTTTTCTTCACATGGGATTGGATTACCATTTTGGATTTTGTTTCTCAAAACATCAATTGATGTTTCACAGAGCTAGCTACCACTAATTTAAATGTAAGATTTGTTTTTAATCATTTTTAACTTCAATAGTTCATATTCTAGCTTGATTTCTTGGTGATGATCTCTTCGAGCATGAATGACGATAACATTTGGAACCTCATTTAGAGATCTAGAAGTGTAATATTTTTTTAACTCACCCTGTAAATTCGTACGATTACCATTGAGCTATGCTAATGTTAACCATTTTTACTTAATTAAACCACTTGTCAAACTTTCTTTTTTAATTCAAGATTTGTCTTTTAATTTTTTTAAATTATTTATAGATTCCTTCATGTGATATAAGTTTATACCATGTCATTGTTTTGCCTCACTTCTAGGCTATGATTTACCATTGAATATTTTACAATATACACTATATTTTGATCTTTTGTAATACATTCTCATACAATCAAACAATTTAACTGTCACATCAACTTACTATGAATCAACAACATTTAAATCAACTGATGAACCTTTATTTTTGATACACTTTTTAGCTTCTTTGTTTTGTTGGTTTGAACTCATCTTTCCCACCATGCTGGGCTGCTGCTAAATTGCTCAGGGAATAGAAGTGAAGCTTCAAGCATTATACTAGCTCAATAAATGTTGCAAGCTACAGACTACAGAGCAATATCTGAGAAGGAAACTACAACCTATTATGGAGAAACTACTAATTTACAACATTTTCTAAACCGGAAAGAGTAGTGTCGATAGCCTAGACCCATAGCCCCGGCCACCTTACCGCTGCACGTGAGCTTGAAATACGTCAATGGCATGTCTTGAGGAGCAGCCCAGAATTTAGTATGTCACAGATGATGAAAACATTCTCTAGCTTGTTAACGCCATTTCTACACAGCCCAGAAAGGTTTTCGGTTTGCCACGGCACCGGTAGTGTTATTGCTACTCAACAATTCAACGCCTTCCTCTGAATCATCATCTTCCTCTCCATATTCCATCAGCTTGACTAATGTATCTGTATAAACAATTAAAGAGACATCACACAGAGAAATCAAAATGGAAGAAGCTGGTCAGTAATCAAACAGTATCTTTTCTAATGAAGAAAATAAAACGTCATCAAATCCAGAAGAGAACAAAGAAAATTGCCCGAACATGATAAAAAATACAATAATTTTCCATAATTAGTTACAGATGTTCAAGTAGAAAATTAATGGAAAACTCGGTATTCCCACCTGAGACTACGTTGCGTTTCATGGTATCTGACGAAAGTTCCTTAACTGTTGACGTAGATTTTGTTGGTCTGGGCGGAGGTGGCATGGATCTGGGCGGAGGCGGTGGCATACCCTCGGATGAAGGTTGAACTAGCTTCCTAGGAGCTGGCATATTTGATACATTTCTCACAGTGGCATCTGTTGATTGTTTTGAGGGCTTCAAAATTTCTGAATCCTGTGAGTGGAATTAGAAGGAAAAATATAGAATATAATTCGCAGTAGTAGAACAAGTAGATTATTAAAAGGACCAACTTCAAATCAGACACATTGCAACGAGCATCTTAAGAGCTATACGACTGATTATTTACTCCTAATGGTCATGAAATTAAAATATGATATAAAAAATCATTTGAAAAATGGCAAACTCCAACGACAAAGAAAGCAAAACACAAGAAATGTACACAATTTCTACATCAATAGCAGAACGGTCTTCGACAATGGTTATGGCTACATAAAGCCATCAGAAGATGACTAACAGACTAGCACAAGCAACAGTACGACGAACATTCGGAAAAAAAAATGACATTAGAAACAAAGTGGAGGGAAACTACAAAATTAGCACGAATTTTGAGTCCATATTAGATATTTTAGACCATTAACAGTCATCAGTTCCTGAGGCTGAAAGGCCCGTGGAACCCAAAAACAAACCCGTTCCGACAGAGAGGCCCAAGAAGTTTCAGCCTATAAAGCTTCAAAGGTCAGAGAAAATACCTGAAACATTAAGCACTGAGGTTAGCCAAAGATAAAGTGCATATCCAAAATAGGCCATTCTGAACGAAGCCAGTGACCTAATGATACAATTGGGGAGGTGTGGATATGAAAGAAGAAAGATTCAAGTCATGAAGTCATGAATGCTCTAGACTGAGAACTAAGCTTAATTCATAGTAAGAGATGGACCATAATAACAATCTATCTATCAAAATAAGATATTCAGATAACTACAGAAACAAAGATGGTTAGTTATGTTTTGAGCTTGGGCAATAGGAGAGTAAGGATATAGATGCTGGAGAGTGACAACGGGAAGGTATCTTTCAGCCTTTTTGGGTAAACACGATTTTGGGAGATACTGGAGCTCTCAAATTCTCCCTTTGACTACTCTGCTTAACTTAAAAAACCTGAGTTCGGTCAAAGCCTGGGAAGCACAGACAACAAAGTGTCCATGTCGGACACGTGTTGAACACATACACGTTCGGACATGCTCAGAAATAGCGTCTTTTTTTATGACATGCTAGCCACATGGCAGATAAACCACAGACATGCCAAGGACATACCAGATGAAATTTCCATGAAATTTAAAGAAAAAATATAAGCCTACCTAAAAGAAACCAAATGAAAAACAAAAGCCCAGCCAACCCGCCCATTGGCATGCTTGAAGAAACTAATTTATCATTGGATTTATCAGATTTAGAGGCAATGGTTTTTGTGATGATGGTACTGGGGTTGACAAATGTGATCAAGATGAAGATATTGTGGAAGTTTGAAATGAGAGTTCTAGTTTTTTTGTAGGGAAGACTGATTTTCTTTAGTACTGTAACATTTGTTGGATAACGCATTTTGTACTATTGTCATGTATGTATTAATGAAAGCACATTTTGTTTTGTTATGTTCAATTTGTATGGTTAATTTATTTAAAGTGTTACTACGTCAAAATATACCGATATAAGATAATGTGCCCCCACAACATTAGTGTCCTACA